GCAGGCATTTTAGATAGAAAACCTGACCTAGAAATTGCACCTGCTTACAAAAAAAAATCTTAACATAAGTGCATCTTTCTGATGCATGTTTCATAATAATACATGATTTTATGTGTAAAACGCCTGATCGCACAGCGAATACATAGCATTTTGACAGTTTTTAGTACATTTTTTTATGAAAAAGCTGCATAACATAGCCTTGCCATAACATTGGTCTATTTTACGGCAGAATCGACGCATAAATCGATTGAGTCAAATTTTGATCCGATAAATCTTAAAGACATTACTTCTCATTTAAATCAATTGATGAATTGACATCAAATAGTGCCGAGTCGATTAAAGACATGATATTGATTGTATTTGCGGTCGTTTTATTTGAAGCGATTCTAACTAATTCGTTGTTATTTAAAATGGAACATGGACATAAATTAACCAGCCAATTTGTAAAAAGGAATTACTACAAATTTTCATCATAAATGAAAAGAAAACAGATGGAGAAGTTCAAAGAGTTGTATTGGCTAATTGGCAGGAGTTCAAATATGTTCTATGAAAACAAACTCTTTTTATATAAAACAATAATTATCCCAATCTGGACGTACGGAATTGAGCTATGGGCGTGCGCAAGCAATTCAAATATAAAAAAAATACAAATAGCGCAATATAAAATTTTAAGATGCATTGTGAACGAAACGAAAGATCTAAAAATAAAAACTATTAATGAAATGATAAAAGAAAGGAGCAAAAAATACCACGAAAAACTACCAGGTCATACCCAATCATATATTTAAAAGAATTAAGCGAGGAGTATCCCACTCGAAGATTGAAAAAAAAATGGCCATACGTTCTTAAATAAAATGTCAAAAAATAAAAAAAGAGATATCTCATAGGAGATAATCTCTTAAATGCATTTACACCCAACATATTGTCTTAAAAAATTTATATTATTTTGATTGGCAATAAAACTTTGCAAAAAAATAGACTACCAAGAATTCGTAACTGTAACATGCATTTTAACAGTAAAATATATTTGGACTGTAAAATATTGAAAATTTTATTGTAGATGCAACTTTTGTCACTTGTATATAATTAAATGAGTATGTATATATAATAATAACTTCAGTTGGTGTTGCAAACTTTCCAATTTTTTCTCGATGCTAATGTATTACAACTCGTACTTATCAGGGGCAATATGGGGCAATGACGGCAATAAACGTAGTTCAATTGATGTTTAATTGAAATGCTCTAGAGCCGAACACAAACACGAACATATGATTTGCATTGTTGATAGCGGCAAAATGAACTAGTTTCACAATGTAATGGACTCTGATTATATGTACAATGTAAGGGTTGTTCTATTTTATTGGGCGTAGACGTAGGATAGGTATAAAAGATGAAGGCAATATATGATATTGCACCAAAAATAGTTTCCAAAAAATTCATGTGTGTTTAAATATATTACATAAACTCTTCATATAATATACTTTACATATTTCCTCTTTATTACCATCGACATAGAAATGAAAAGAATTTAAAAAATGTGTTATAAGACGGAAAGAATCATTTGTACACAAGGAAATTAAATTTATCTAATCAGTATGCTAATTTAGATAGAAAGCGTTTTTCAAGATAGGCTAATCTTTGCACTTTCCTAAATACATTTGCATATTATCGTAAAAATGAAATAATCCCTAGCATGTAAGTAAGTTTCCTATTTTACTGAATAATCACTTACATATAATTTTCCTTATCGGTTGATTAACTAAGATCGGATATAATATTGTTATGCAGTAAGTATCGAAAAGGTGGTCAGATATTAAAAAAAAATATTTTTTTTACAAAAAATATTTACCATAAAAGAAAGAATAGATAGATTACACTTTCGATACATATTTAAGAAAAATATTTAAGGTTCTCACATTATCCTGGAAGAGTTTTGGCAAGTAAATCATAACAAATTAAAAAATAAGAAAATATGTTGAAAAAATTAAATTAACATTGTCTTTCAGTCATCATGAATCATTATGAAAACCAGACATGATCAAAAAACCCGTGCATTCATTTTTGAAAATGATTTAGGGGCAGAATTATCATTCATTTTCTAATAAAATGATTTGTTTGCAATGTAAGATTGCATATCTTTATTGTAGAAAATATCAGATTACACTGTTGCTTCAAATATTTTAGGCGAAATTGCAAGTATGATTTTTGATATTTAATTTATAATTTATTTTGTAAACTTCAGATCAGTACCTTCATCAACTTAAAATAAAATAATTAAAATAAACTAACAAAAACGTTTTGCTCGTTTCATTTGTACTTTTTGCTCGTGGAGCGTTACCTTTCTCATCATTGCATTGTATAATAATTTGTCTCACATGCTTTGCATAAGTGATACATAATTTGCCCTAAAAAATTTCTAGGCGTCGGTCATTGTATTCATCGGTCATTAACATTAATTATCGAGTTGAGCATTACCACATCGGTATGAAAAGGAGACCGACACTTTTGCCGTCTGAAATGTTTAGCAACTATAGCAGGCATGGCCAAGTAATAGAACTTTAATCTATTCGTACTTCAAACCCATGTTCAGTCCCCGCAAATGCGAATTGTTTCTCTTTTTCTATCAACTCATTTTCAATGTAAAAGTAGACAAAAGCATATTAATGTTAACCAGTGGTGTTGTGCTAATATTTTTTTTGTCGGAACGCTAAAATTTAAAATCCGGTTCATACACCGGTTCAAAAAAAATGATATATTTCGATAAGAACTCACAAATCTAATATATTACCTTCTTATATAATTAACTCTATTATATACAGCTAGTCTATACATTAAATAGTACAAGTATGAGGGAACCATTGAGTACATAATTTATATTCTTTAATAACATTAATTATATTTATTGTGGTATTATTTGTATTCATTAATACTTAAAGGTATTTATTATGATATAAAAGTACTCAAGATTTATTACAATACTTTATATGACTTAACCTAATAATATGATAGATAACCTATTACCTATCTTACTATACTATATTATTGTATATCATAGGTAGATATCTATTATCAATCATACCGTGAGATACCTATACCGTCATTAACTTATTATATACCTACATACTTTTTACTTCTTATAAATATTACTGTCTAATTTATATATTTACCTATATTATATAGGTTTACCTTACGCCCTATGTATTATCTCTACCTATCTATTGTCTATACCGGGAATTGAACCCGGGACTTCCGCGTGGCGGTCGCGCACCTTAACCACTACCCTATCGGGTACCCCCATTAATAATATAATATGGGACACACTGTTGTTTCCGCGGGTCATTTTCCAATTAATTAGGTGATTAATACTAAGGTGGTGCGACGACACGCAAAAAAAGGCGGTTGATTGTATCGTTACGGTGGTGTAGTGGTTAAGGTTGTCGCGTGCCACGCGGCGGACCCGGGTTCGGTTCTCGGTAGGGTTAATGTAGCGTGTAAGGAAAATTATAGGTAATAGGATATATAGTAGATATAGGTTAGGTGTATTCGGTATACAATGTAGGGATTTAGGAGTACGTATATGTTGAAATATAGCGTATGGTATAGATGTAAGGCGTGTAGTATAGAATGCAACGTATAGGCATACGTAAAGCTATAAAAATACACGAATAGGAACCTATGATGTAGGTGTTAGCGTATAAGAAATGCGAATGAATATTAGATTTAATTTATACATATTATTTTTTCTATAAGAATTTTTATCTCGGTATTAAATATCTAAAATATCCAAAATATACGTAAAGACATCGATTACACCTTACTGCTGCCTTTGCCGTTATCACTTCATAGAAAATTAATTACTGCACTTTTAAACGATTGTGTGCACTGTGCGACAATAGACATAGAACTATAAATTTTATTAAATGTTTGAGTAACTTATGCGAGCTGATTTTCTTAAGATGTTCTTAGTCTTGCAACTTACTGAATTCTAATTTAGAAATATAATATAAAAATTATTATACCGCTGTCTGGAAGGGATGGCAATTTATAAATATACAGACTAATACATACAGAATTTGGAATTTTTCTATAATCTGTAATATTGAGAACGTTTGCATTAGACCTAAAAAGGGATGCTTATTTACCTAAGCTATGGAAATATATATATATATGGAAAAATTATATGATTTGCACATGCATCCTGTGCTCACTTAAACTAAACAATGATTATATTATATTTAACGAACTTTTAACAGTATTTACAAATTACATTCAAATCACCCAAAGCAAGTGGGTTAAAGTCGTGTAATTTTTTAATTTGCCTCTCCTCTTTCCATTAAATGGATTAAATCATTAAATCCATTAAAAATGGATTTTTCTGTGGGGCGTGTGCCCCACGTTGGGAATTACTAATCTAGGAGTACAATTTTTTAATCTACTACCAGGTTAATTTAATCTACTATCAATAATTGAGTGATCATCAATTCCACAGCACCTTCATCAGATTTTTAAAAGGTCAAAGTTTCTATGAATATGCATACAAATCTCAAATTGTAGGCCGAAATTCAGACAATAAGTCTATTGAAATATCAGGGTAACTCTTTTGCTATAAATTGTCAACTAAATTACCAATAAATAAATGTCAATAAAACAATGATTAAAAAAAATTAACAATAAATGTTGGATTGTAAAAATTTACAAGCGATCGAACGGCTTATATTTTTGCCTTAGATGGCAAAAAATTCATCCAATTCCAATTTTGCTTTTTGTTTTTGTTTGATATTACACTCCTAATAGATTCTCCTGTAAGAGTACCAATACCTGAACATTGTTTAATCTAACAGATTGCAGAATAAATTGAATTAAAAAAAATAGTTGCAACTCCAATACTATTTAAGAGTTTAACACTAGATTATGAATATTTTTAAATTTAATCTAATATAAACTAGCATACATTTTAATGAGATTTAAATCAAAATTGAATTCAAAATTATTTTTTTTAGGGTGTGGTGGACGTTAACCGGGAGCTACGGTAATATTTTGCCCATTGACTGGACGCGTTCGAGTGCTCGGCGCCTGCATCTTCCGACCCTTCGCCTTGCGGGGGCCGCTCTGGGTGGTGATACGCCCGTCACGCCGCAGATTCCTGATTGGGGCTCCGAAGACGAAGCTATCGCATCTGATCTGGATATGCATAAACTGATTCTTGGGGGGTAAATTTTGATAGTTCAATTGTAATAGGATAGAAAAAATTTTAAATTTAATAGTTACTATTATTTTGAAATTTTTTTTCATTGTGTTGTAATTATTTATCTAAAATCATTCACCTTTAGACTGCCATCAGAAGACGAACCACCAATGAAGACTGCAGAGGAAGTTATTCGGGAAATCGATGATCTGATGGATGAAGGTTCGGCGGATGAAAGTTCATACGGCACTACACCTGGAGTCAATGAGGCACTTGCCAGTGCCGCTGAAAGGGCTCGGGAGGTTCTTGGTTCACCTCTCTATAAAGACAGTAAGGGAAATTGTTATTAAAACAGAAATATTAGCTATTTAAAATGCATTTTTGAAATATATATATTCTAAAATGTCAAGGTGAGTGGCATTATATCTTAAGACTATTAGCTATTTAAGGGGTTGGAGGTACTTGGAGGTACGAAAAAATGAGAATTTTCAGTATTTTTTTTGTTATAAAACTATGTTTTCTTACAAAAATATTAATACGGCATTATTATACAATGTTTTGACTTGAAGTAACAAAAATTTCAGAAAAAAAATCTCAAACTTATAGCTGTTTTTGTTGACCCTGTTTCAAAAAACGGTCCTGGCGGTGACCGTCATAACTCCTTAGAGATTCATCTAAAATAAAACAAATAAAAGAAAATAGTTTTATAAATAAATAATCCTGAGCATGATCGAAGAAGGTTTTCTTTTTTTGCAAAAATTAACAAAATTGCAGCATCAGAAAAAAATATCTAGATTTTTGAGTAAAAAATCAACAGTTAATTGGTCTTACAAATTGTAATTTTTAAAAAATAAAAATTTTTTGATCAGGCCCGTGTTTATTATGTATTCTAAAAGCTGTATAAATTTCATTAAAATTTACTAAGCGGTTTTTGAGTTACAGTGGTCACCGGTTCAAAAAACATAGTTTTGAGAAAAACGCGTTTAGAGTTTCACATTGGATTTACGTACAGAAATTCGAATTATTGAATTACTTAAATCGAGTCATCTATTTCTGGGCCATATAATAGTTCATCAATCATTGTGCAAGTTTCCAAAATTTCCATTTGCTGTTGCCTACGAAGCATTTTGGCCTACCGAGTGTGCTCGTTGGCGCGCTGATCTGCCACTTTCACACGTGCAGCATACAATTTTTCAACATACCAATGGGAATTGTACCCTCAATTAGGTCTTAGGGTATCAATATCAATAATAATGATTATGTATATGTATTCAGCAGTTTGTACGATAGTAGAACTAGTATTCACGGTTTTTAGGCATATTTTTTACACTAGTTGGTTGAAGCTTTTAATTTTTTCTGATTATGGATTCAATATTGAACTACACATCTTGAAAGTAAATTATCATTGCGGAGATCGTCGTAAATGGGTTTATGAACTTTTAAAACATCAGGAGCTGAGGGAGAATAATTTTGAGTATAAGTATCGAGCTCTCCATTTGCGTCAACGTGCTGGTAAGAGTCTAATAAATTTTCAGAGAATATTTTCAAGATATTACACTTAATAAAAATGCAAAACAATAAAAATCGATTTTTCAAAATTTTCAAGTACCCCTAACCCTAACCTAAAATAACATTGTAACTTATTGTACATGTAAAATTGTAAAATAAACCTGTATTTTTATACGATGTCGTACAGCAACTTACTCAGCGATTGACATACTCGTCATTGAACCCTATTTCTACGACAGAAAACTGTTCGATGGGAGCGTTACAGTAAACTGGTTAATATGTTCAATATTTTTGTATAACGCTCTTAAATAAAAAACTGAAATGCTATGTATATGAAGCAAATACTTGATCCAAAAATCTATATTTGATTTTCAATCCAACGATAGTTTTTAATTAATCTTTTCTAAAGATCAATGGTTCCATTACAATGGCTATAGAATCTAGCCATTGCAATGGCACCAATCGTTTAAAGTGAAACTTACTTGATAAGAAAGGTACATTTTCAGTCCTGTAAAATCCTTTTGTACGAGGTGCTAATTCATTTGAAACATACGTTAATCATTTTCAGAACTACGAACAATGTCTTTGTCTGAACTGAATGAAGTGTATATGGAACTTGAATCTCTAATTCGAGACTTCTCAGAAACGTTAATTGCCGAGCTAGCATTGAGGGATGAACTGGACTACGATAAAGAACTCAAAAATGCATTTATTTCCCTGCTACTCGCTGTTCAGAATCGCAGGTTTGTTATTTAACGATATATTTAATTTGTTTTTATGCTATTGGTGGGCCAGCTGACATTAAAAGCATTCTTAAAAAAAAGCCCTTTTAGCGTGGGTTAGCTCGATATTAGACAGCTAAATATTAAATTTTTACTTGAGGTCTTCCAATATAACCTTAAGTGAAAATCGCTGTTAGCAGGCATAGCTCCATTATTAGAATAATATTAAAGAAGGGTGGTTCATTAATGAGCTGCCTTCTCAAAAAAAATCACAGATTAGGAATATAAGTTAGCAAATAATCTCACACAGTTCTGATAGCTGTAAAAAAGTTATTTGTTACCTGCAAGGTTACCAATTAATTGGTAACTATAATTATGGTTATTTTTAAAGAATCTTTGCTACAAATAATTTTTAGCGATTATTTTGAGTCCATATAAACTAGTTATTTGCCATAAGCATAAGTGAATGCTAAGAATAATTGTTTCTTGATCGTAATTTATCAAGTTTTTTCCTTTCGCATTTTTTATTACCGCTAGACTGGACAGAGAGTCGGGTGTTCTGGATTTTGGGTATGTTTTCATTACTATGCACTTAAAATATGTAAAAAAATGTAATCACGTGCGAGGGAACTCGTACACTGATGATGGCGTGTAGATAATATGGTGCGACCATATTATTTGAAACTAGAATTCGGTCTGAAAATGTATTTCTATTCATATGCTTTCACTTAAAATTTCAAATTTGATTCTTGATCAGTCTGAAAAATGAAGTAGCTGGAACGGATGGATAAATGACAAGACCCAAATGTGTTATTTGTCGTTTGGATGGAGTTTTTGAGTAAGAAGAACATACCCAAATTTCCGCACCCGTGAATGGCCCGTCCGTTCTAGCTCTTTGAAGAATACCGATGATGAAGGGCCTAATTTACTCTCAAGGAACCAAGAAGAAAAGAATTATTCTAAATTTTAATTTCATATTTTCATATCTTTTGGCACATATTTTATTTTCGTATGCGTTTATATTTGCTTTTACAACATAAACAAAATACTGACTTAATATTTTCTAATAGTTTTACCACAAAACATTTTTTATGAGATTACTATATGCCATGAGTGTATGAGTTCAGCTCGCTTGAAATAATAGTTTTGCTAGTATGCACGCTTTTATTTACCCAATATATGTGTACTTAATAAAATATTTTTTATTACTTTAACTATTTTACTACGAGAGTGTTTTCCTGCAGGACACTACTATAAGGAACAGCAAACCGCTCAGTAAAGCTATTAAAGACTACAGCTATTGTATTTAAAAATTACAAGTTTTACTTTAAAAAAACCTAAAATTAAAATAACCAAAGTTAACTCAAAGTCGAAGCAAAGTTCGGAGGTCGCCTATAGGCGACGTGCAAACAAGTCATGTGGATGTCGCCTATAGGCGACATTCGTAGCGAAAAGGTACATTCTAGAGATGGGCTTATCATATCCGAAGCCGGATCGTTTAGGATTTGACTCCGCTTCAGAGAGGAGTTATATCCACTTAACAACTCTACAACTCCTGGATTAAACATAATACTTGACACAAATGTGTTCTCTAGTGTGTTGTTAACATATCTCAGGACTTTGGAAATAGTTCAAACATTTTTGTTCATTTTATTATGATAATTACTATTTCATGCATTTCAATATGCATACAAATCTCAAAATTGACAAAAAACTTGGGAATCAAAATCAATTTTGTAATTAGTTTTGAAGAGAAAATATAGAATTCTTTGAATATGTTCATTTTTATATGAAAATAATGCAGTGAACCTTATATATGAAATATGAACAAATCTTTGTGTATAATATTTTTCACAAAATAATAACACCTCACATTCTTTTATTTTCTTTTTGATAATTAATTATACATCAGGTAGTTTTATTAGCATACTATTACTTTTACACAATTATAAAATCATAATTGTATAAAAGTTATAATATAATACTAAATATTTTTTAGCTGGTTGTATACCATTGAAAGAGCTCATTTTTGGACAATCATTATCGTACACATAATATAGAATACAAAATAACATTATTTTGGTACATTATATACTTCTAAAGTGCTAAAACTGGCTGTGAGACGAGAAAAAAACAACTTTTTTCGACCCAAATCTTTGTATTAGTAAAAAATCTCAAGCAAATATCTGCACATGTTAACAAATTTAGTACCTGTTTAAGGAAGTCGGATATGACAAATCCTGTGAGACAACTCCACTCGGATTCACTCCGAGGGAGGAGTTGTATCCGAGTGAGTTACCCATCTCTAGTACATACATATTTAGTACAATTTTTATATCTAAAAAATACCTTAGTTGATTAATTTGTTCCTTATATGAGCATATTATTATCAACAGTGGCGGCGCTAGACCATTCGTGGGCGTCGGCGAAATTCGTTTGCGAGGCCCCCCTTTTTTGCCAGTTGCAAATTGACTAGTGGTACATGGCATCGTGCCTTAAGGCAAATTGCTGAAACTTTTCGTGCCGCAATTTAAATTTTTGAAAAGCTTTAAAAAAAATTGAAAAGTGAAAGAAATTGACTTTTTTTAATTTGAAATATTTTGTTGAAAATTTCGAACTTTTTTCCAAAGCAATCACGTTGTGTTAGCTGCTTAGAGACGAAATATCGAAGCGCGTAAACACCGCGTTGCAGTCTAACTTAACTCACTATTAATTAAAATCTTTATAAAATATCTGATAATTTGATGTGCATATGCCAAATGGCCCTTGTTGTGCTTTTTACTGGATTTCCAAAACCGCTAGACCTGCCTTCCTAAAAATGTAATCAGTTTGGCACTTTTTGCCCCGTATCTTCAAAACGGCTTATCCTGCCTTTGCCAAAAACTAATCAGCACGTCTTCTTACCTTCAATACATGTCAAATGTTTTCTGAATTTTTCAAATTGGTTGATCCATGTTCGTGAAATCGTCGACGAAAATTTGCCAAGATGTTCAGAAATCTTTGAAGATATATAAAAATTTTTGTTTTAGATTTTTTTGCGATTACTATAACTGTATATGAGATTTATTTTTAATCAGATAAATACACCAATTGAAATAGACAAAAATTGCACAAGTTGAAATAAACAAACTCTTCGGCAAAAATGGTTTGTTGTCCAGCTATTAAAAAAGCACTAAAATTAAATAATTATCGCGAAAAAGTTTCCTTTTTCCCAACCATTTGATTAGCAAATTTTATGTTTTTTCGATCATTATGAATAAAAAATGGTTGGAAATCACCGACTTAATAACTAATTAGACAAAATTTTGCAATCTGCAAGTGATTAATTAGATTTAAAAAATCTATGTTCATACTAATTTGAGTGCACAAATCCGCACATCACATAGTAGGTACACATGGTCTAAAAGCTCGTCCCATTATTCTAAAATTTAATGATTTTTTATAATTAATCATTTATCGTAGTTCCATAAAATTTATGTTAGATGATACTAACAAGTTTTTTTTGAAAAAAGATTTTTACAATAAATTACGAACAAACTGTGCGGTCGATCTTGAGGAAAAACAATTCAGCACGATCGCCAACTGAAAACTTTCGATCAGTTTTTGAATTTTTAAAATTGGTTCAAAAATGTCAAAATGTCGTTTTTTAAGACGCTTTATTTTTTTGTCGCCGACATCAGAGCAGATCAACCGATTTAAAGGATTTAAAAAACATTCGATTCGTGTTGATAAATTCTCAAAGGCAGGTTTAGCGGTTCCGGAGATACAAAAAAAGTTTAAATGGTTATCAATTTTATTTGAAAGAACTAATCATCCCAATAGAATGTTTAAAAAAATATATTGCTTGTGTTGACGGTGTGAAACAATGATTAGTTTGAAATTAACAGTTTTTGTTATTATCTCATTGTTATTTCTCATTGATCAATTTTTATTGATCATTGATTACTTTTATTCCTCGAATATTTAATTACTGTTTCGATACGTTAAGATTCCCACTCGTATGTATTTCCAAAGAGAACGATGATTTACATAGTGCTCACATAAGAAATACACAAATATTAACAACCGGAGAATTAGCACGCGCGAAGTTGTTTAGATTTAATAATCTATAGTGTTGACAGACGATATTAGATAATGTCCATGAAAGATAAGAGAGTAAAATGAGTGCCTGTAAACCACTAATCACCTTTTTTATTCGCACATCCGTATGAAAATTAACTAAATTTTAAATAATTAAATTTTTTCCGGGGCCTCTTGCGAGGCCCCCCCAGGCGCGAGGCCGTCGGCGGCCGCCGACACCGCCGACGCCTAGCGCCGCTACTGATTATCAATTACACCACATCTTCATTTTTGACGCCCTCCCAAATGAATTTTTTTTAAGAAACACGTGTTATAAAAATGTATTGTGCTTGAGAAAGTTATACATTAGATTTTTTGTAATTAAGATTTTGAAAATGATACAGTTATTAATTAAAACTTATATTTTTTAGGAGGCAGCATCATGTAGAACGTAAACGTAACAACGGCGGTGCTCCAGGTACGCAAAGGACCTCTATGCAATCAAAATATTTGACAACCGTGATTCCGTACCACGCCGAAGCTGGCACACCTGACAATCGCGCGCTCAGCGTACTCATCAAAAGTAAGTACATTTCAAATTTATCGATTACTTATTTCGATTCGCCAACTTAAATTTTCAGCTATTTTTATTGCCACCACGGTACATACTCACCCCGTTATCGGGTGAGGGTTAGCTGTATACACAATTTGGTATAAAAGGATTTGGTAGTGTTTCCATACAGAATTGGCCCCACCTTGGTATTTTGCCAAAAAATCCGATATACCAATTTTCAACTCTCTAGCTCGTCATTTGGCCGAAATATCATTGAAAATATGCGAAAGTGGTCCTGTTTGCGCCAGAACCTCGTTAAATGTCGCCAGACCACATTTTGCCAGAGTCAGACAATATTTTAGTCTCTGGCAATCCTGAATGAAAAAGAGTTTGGATATAATCGCTAATCATGCGGGTGAACAGGGTCTCGCGGTCTCGCTTGTCACGTACGCCATTTCACTTGTTTTCCGTATGAGTTTTGTTGAATTTTCCGAGTGTTCGATGTTATTTGTGTGAATAAATACGTTATTAATCGCAGCCAGTATTTCTTATTATGCTTCTGGAGTCAATTTCTACCTTAGTATCCATTCCTTATAGCGATCTGAGAATTTCAGACTTCAAGCCACCATCCGACTGGGCCGCCGACCAAGCAGAGAACAACGAGTATTTTTCCTTAATATATTCAGTTATACAAAATTTTCGGAATAGCTATTGAGTCAAATTCAATTAGCTATTCCGAAGGGGTCTAACCAACCACCATCCGTAACAGGCCCCTTTCTTGAGAATCACTTTTTGTCACAACTGTAAAAGATATCGACAAACAAATAACAGATGTTGTGGACTATATTATTAATAACAAATATTGTTAAAAAATTATTTTTTATACTATAAACAAGTGATAATATGTGTCTATTTCAAATTTTCAGCTAGTGCTACTGTTTGGACTAATTTTTAATTAGCATCGTTAGAAAGGCTATTCATTTTTCTTATGCTATCCAAAATTTAATTTTAGTCCATGTGGTAGAATACATTCAAAAGTTATGTGCTTGTTTACAGTTGTGACAAAAAGTGACTCTGAAAAAAGGGGCCACTTTTCCATATTTTCAATGATATCTCCACCAAATGATGAGCTAGTGAATTCAAAATTGATATATCGGTTTTTTCGAAAAAAAAAAACTATAAAATGGTATCAAAATCGTTTAAATACCAGGATGAGGCCAATTCTATATGGAAACACGACCAAACCCTTTACTTCTCGGTAGGAGTTGAACTCGGTTTCAAAATCATATCACTTACTAAATTAATTATTTCTGTAGAAGGAATCTAAAACGAGAAAATTGTTAAGCATCAATATACTTACCTTTAATCATTTTTATTATTCATAAACGTTAACTATTATAAAACTAATGGTTCCTATCTATGAATTGTAGTGATCAGAGATTTTTTTGTAATTTATTTCAAAATTGAAAGAATTTATTTAACGCACAAATGATAGAAACTTTAAAGTTTAATGCAAGTCTGAATATTTAGAAATAATAAGAACAAATAAAATAAAATTTATATATGTTTATAAAAATGCATATGTAATTATTGTTATATTTGTTATGCTAACTCTAAAGTATTTTCTGACAATGAGTAATTTTATTATGATTTTAATGCCAAGCCTTAACTTTAATTACACAGGTCCAAAAAATGTTCTGCATGATGATTAAAATCTTATTTTCTTTCGATTTCTGTCTCGTTTTACCTTAAATTGCTATTTAATTTCACTTAAGTAATGTATTGAGTTTATTTTGTATAATTCAGCAGTAATTTGCACTTATTTACTACATAATGCCTTTGGCAAGTTTGCAGTTGAATATTTGAAAATGTTCTTGTAAATTACTGCTGTAATCTACAAAAAAACTCAATAAATAGTTCATTTAAGTAAAACTTAATAGTCATTTGAGGTACTAGGGACCAAGAAACTACATAAAATATAAGGTTTCAAATATCATGCTGAACAATTACTAGATTGGAGCCTCTGCCGTTTTTGTCGTTTTTCTCAATTTTTTGTAGTTTGACCCCCAATTTTGACTTCAAATTCGTGTTCAGCGGTAAAAACTACATTGGAAAACATATGTTGCACTGTATTGGATATACAGACAACTTCAGTCTGTATTGGATATACAGACAACTTCTTTCGTGGACCTGTGTAATTATAGATTGATTTTAGTCATTAAAATTTTGATTGATAATATTCCTAATATTATTCCTTCTCAGTTTTGAAAGCCATCAATGAAGACAGTCCTACCGTACCCACCCTGCTCACAGATTACATTCTGAAGGTTCTTTGTCCAACATAAATTTTGCTATCAAGCCGCTAAATAATATAAGTTAAAGAAAAACGTTTTAAAGTTTTGAACAAAACAAATTTTAAAACTTAGGATTAATGTAATATTTTATGACCATCATCACATTTTTAAAATTTTGGCAGCTTATGTTCAGCATACTTATTCAAAAATTTTACTTATCAATTTATTCAAATATATTTTTCCTGAGAATATAATTAACATGAGTACAAAGAAGATTCTATATAAAAATATATCTACTTATCTATGCAATTAATTATACACATCACATAAAAAGAATAAAAATTTAAATACTAAATAATTTTGCAGTCATAATGTTTTCATCATAAATATTACAATTAGCTTTAATATTCCTTAGTCAAAAGTATGATAAGGACTGCTTTGCTGTGTTATTTTTAATTAAGTTATATATGTACAAATATTTAAGTAGTTTTTCTCAATTTTATTTATAAGTTATTTGCAGTCGTAATTTATATCTGGTATGTGTGAGATGCATTTATTCGCATCAAGTATGTTCTATTTCGTAATTCTACTACAAAGAAAATATTTTTCTGATAAATAATGTATGGTGCATTGTGTATTATTTGTTATGAAAAGTAGGCAAATTTTTGATATTGCGACGATATTTTAATGCGATATTATCTTTTATTTTTCAATTTATACATATTTCTTTGAAATTAATCGAGGAATGAAAAAATGAGTTGCAACAGTAACAATTTGCGTATTTTGATTATCCGTTTTTGTGCATGTATTAAATTAGACTACTTGCACAGTTTAGCATAGTTAGAAATACAAAAATAATTTGAATGGCTAATAATTATAGTCTACTCAAAATAGTTTTTAATAATAATTTGTATTATAAACAAAATACAAAAATACAAGTAATTATTTACAGCAAATGTTATAAAGTTTTTTGGTATAAATTAATTAAATTACTGATTTTTATACAACTCATTTTTTTAATGATTGATTATTATCATTCACTTTTACTCATATAGTGCAAGTTAAGATAATGCTAAATAAATAAATATATATAACAGATATTAAATAAAATATATTTAATAAAAATGTCTTTCAAAACGCTAATTAAAAATATGTGAGCTTTGGCACTCATTATAAAATAAATTATGCAAAGAATATTGATGCATGATGCTATAAATATGTGATGTTATTGAAAATATAAGATTTTAACATATAATCCAAATGTCACTTTAATTAAAAACTTGTAAAAATAATCGGTACGATTCAGTTGTTTCTAATTGTGTAATCAATCAGTGAAGCTAGGAATTAGGCTATTGACTTTCCGATTTTATCTAAATGAATACAGAAAAGAAAGATTCATTTATTCTATAAATTGGTTAGCCATGTTAAGCGTAATTACATAATTGTAATGGTAATATTACATAAAATTGCTCAAACGACCGTTTTCATACCTTTATTATAATCATTATTTATCAAAACAAATTTTAGTGTTTTATTATTATATTTAATTTTCATGTTTGCAATTCTTGAGCAAGGGCAATTCTATTTATTCCTGATTTAGGTCATTGAATTGAATGATTAAAACTGAATAAATTTTAGCCAATGTTACATTTAATTACTTATTGTTTATTTATAGTGATTTTAAATTTGATTGTACATATTTTCGACAATTATAATTTTAAGTAAGTTAGTTTTATGTAATTATTGTAAATTTATATGTATATTTTAATTTATATTTATTACATGATAAAATAACATTGACAAGTCTACATTTGTATATTTGATATAGTGTATATTAAATGTCACTAAATAATAAGAAAAGCTGTATGTGCCATAGGTGCTATATATTATATGTGAATCTCTTGCCCAGTTGTACAGATAATTGTTTCTGCAAAAATAATTTTGGTTATATTGTTTTTTTTTCTCAGGTAATTTATTTAAGAAGGTTTATAAAATAGATATTTAGCAATAATAAATATATATATATGTGCAATTTTTGTTATCATCAATGTAATATATTTTATTATAATCACATGCTATTTATAAAATAAAGAAAGGCTTATCGAAAAGTTAGACTTATAACATTAATAATGCGGCATTATTACCTTCAAGCAGAATCATAGTTTTTACTCCTGAATCTAGTCAATGTAGTAAAAAATTATTGCTCGACGAATCACTGAAAAAGTTTATGAAATTCTTAAAAAAGTATAGCAAGATAAGTAAATCAGCTTTGTTGATATTAGGAGGGTACTATTGATCAGAAAATTATTTTGAACCAATTATATAAAGCTAAGTACAAAAGGAAGCTCAATGTATGGATCTTCATGAGTTGGACGCGAAGATGCAGTAATGGTATTAATGGCAGTATGTTTTTAATAGCTCTTTTCATACTTATATAAATTAATTGAAACAAATATATATATATATATGCAAACAATATTATATTATGATAGTATGATATTCCCAGAATAGGTGTATACAAATTGTATCTTTATGTAAAAATCAATGCAGGTATTTAGGTCAAATAAAGCAAATTTCCAAATTAAAAAAAATTTTTGGACGCGAAGAACTTAGACCGAATCAACGTCTGCGATACGCTGCTGAAATGCATTGAAATCGAACCATTTCTGAAATTTCTCCGGCCTTAAATCCAACAATTCAAAATTCATCCTATGCAGACATTGCAAAAAACAATTACTCTGCTTCTAATCATACATTTAATAACTGGTAAGAAAAAGTAGCTACTTTTTATCTAGATAATATACGACAATCGGAGTCGAAATAAATCATAGATCAGTGAAGATGAGCGACGACAAACGTTTACAAGTCAGGAATGATACTAAGAAAGGTGATGCTGTCTTTGTGGTGGGACTAGAAGGTAATTTGTCAATCGTGATCTACTTCCAGTTGGTCAGACCATTAATTATGAATCCAACTGTAAATAAATAGAAAGATTGAGCCAGACAATTGAAAGAAAGCGGCCTTAATTGAAGATATTGTTTTCCATTATGACAAAGCCCGACCATACACTTATTTGATCACCTGCCAAAATTTGCGAAAGCTTTAGTTGACAAATTTTTATGCATCCACCGTATACTCCAGACATAGCACCCTCCGACTTTTTGCGATCTCTGCAAAACTATCTTAATGGAATTAATCTGATTTCAAAAAAAGCGCTTGATTCAGTTTTTCAACCAGAAACCTCAGAGGTTCTTCATCGGTGGCATCATGGATCCACTAGAAAAATAGCGAAACTTTGTTGATAAATAATATACTATTTAATACATATACTACTATACATATTTAATTTGGATAAATATATTTTCACCCTATAAAAATCTTTGATTTTCACTAAATAAACGAAACGAACTTACTACTACTTGACTTGCTTTTACTGCATAGAGACGAAATATCGAAGCGCGTAAGCGCTGCGTCGCCGTCTAACGGATAAACATTACAAAATACATACTTATTATTAAAATCTCTATAAAATATCTAATAAATTGATGTGCATATGTCTAATGAACATTTTTGACCGCCAAATGGCATTTTTTTTTATTTTTTTACTCGATCGCCGAAACCGCGAGACCTGTCTTCATGAAAATTTGATCAGTTCTTCATCTTGTTAATACAAGTAAAATGTTTTTTGAATTTTTAAAACCGGACGCGTTCTCTTAAAAACCGTGTTACCGTTTTGGAACTTTTTGTCCCGTATCTTCGGAACGGATAGACCTGCCCCTGCCAAAAACTAATCAGCACGTCTCCATATCAGTACGAATCGAATGTTTTGTGAATTATTTAAATCGGTTCATCGGTGTTCCCGAAATCGTCGACGAAAATTTGTTTCCGCACACACACACTGACACACACACATACATTCATTTTATTTAAGGTATGCCAAAATGTTCAGAGACCTCTGAAACGTAGAGTTATATAAAAATTTTCATTTTCGATTTTTTTGCGATTACTATAACTTGCCCTACGGGAAGTTAATAACAGAAAAAAAAACGATTTTTTTGTATTTCTACACTAGAATACCCCCTTAATGCAAAATGCTACCCTTCTTTTATATATACTCTTCCTTTATCTGCGATGCTACTTACACTAATTATAATTAAATCACTTATCTACAATGTTTTATATCATACACGAACTTTTCATAGATAAAAGAAGAGTATATGGAACCTTCTATCTAAAGTCTATTTATAAAAGTTATTAGTAAATAATTAGATATTTATAAATGGTAAGATAAAAGCATAGCTGGGCATTAACTCGTTAATCCGTTAATCGTTAATTAACGAAGTTAACATTTTGACTAACGGATTAACTTTTAAGTTAACTTTTAAAAATGTTAACGGACACGTTAACTTCCGTTAAAATGCAAGAAGTCCGTTAATCGTTAATCCAATGCCTACTATTTACCGCACGGCACAGCTATAGCCATAGGCTTTAGCCAATGCCTTATTAAACGGCATAGAGAAAAGATTTGGACTACTCCTGAATGATGAACAGTGCCAACTTGCCGCGGCATTTCACTCAAAGTTTCGGTTAATGTGGCTGGAAACGTATGACAGCAGTAGAGAGGAATGCAGTAAGAAAATGCTCGGAAAAAAGGTAGAAGATGCCTTATGGCAAGAAGCAGCGAAAAATTCGAAGGACAGAGATAGTTTAAGTGGCGGAGGGAGCAATGCGAGTAACAACGATGATGACGAGAAGGAAGACTTTTTCAATTCTGTCACTCAGTCTATAGAAAAACCAAAAAGCTACAAACTCTTTAAAGAACTGGCTGTAAGTGGAATTCTGTCTTAAGGCAATTAAGGCGTTGTGCCTTAAGGCAAATTGCTGGAACTTCCCGTACCAACAATTATTATTTTTTTAAAAACGATTAACATTTTTGAAAAAAAATTACTTCAAAGAAATAAGATTTTTGACAAACAATTAGACATAAAATTACTTTTTTTTGAAAAAAAAAATTTTTTAATTTTTTTTTTTTATTTTTTTTTTGAAAAAAAAAAGGTTTTCTTTAGAAAGATCTAAACTTTTTTTCAAAGCAATCGTACTGCTTTAACTGCATAAAGACGAGATATCAAACCGCGTAAGCGCCGCGTCGACGTTAACGCGTAAACATTGGTACGGAACCCATAGGAATGTAAACCAAAATTATACTTATTGTTAAAATCTCTATAAAATAACTGATAATTTGATGTGCATATGTCTAATGATCATTTTTGGCCGCCAAATGGCATTTTTTTTACTTTTTTCGTTATATCTCCGAAACCGCTAAACCTGCCTTTATGAAAATTTGATCGGTTCTTCACCTTGTAAATACAAGTAAAATGTTTTTTGAATTATTAAAATCGGACGCTCCGTTCTCTTAAAAACGGAGGTACCGTTTCTGGCACTTTTTGACCCGTATCTTCGGAACGGCTGGACCTGACTTCGCCAAAAACTAATCAGCACGTCTCCTCGGTATTCAAATCGGTTGATCCGTGTTCCCGAAATCGTCGACGAAAATTTGTATCCGCACATACATACACACACGTACATACATACATACATACCAACACACTCTGCATGTTAGATACGGCTGGTAAGATATTGGAACGAATAATTCATCAAAGAATTGAGGCAGTCGTTGACCCACTTCTGGCGGACAACCAGTATGGATTCCGGAAAGGACGATCAACCCTGGACGCAATAAAGCTAGTTGTCGATACTGCCAAAAAAGCGATCGAAGGAACAAAATGGAAGGGAGGTACAAAAGAGTACTGCCTTGTGGCCACACTAGACATCAGGAACGCTTTCAACTGCGCAAATTGGGACTGCATAATGCAAGCTCTTGTAGAAAAGAATGTACCGGGCTACATATGTAGAATAGTGGCAAGCTATTTTACGAATAGGGTCCTGAAGTATGACACGATGAACGGCCCAAAAGAATAAATATCACCGGAGGTGTTCCTCAAGGCTCAGTTCTTGGACCACTTCTGTGGAATGTTATGTATGACGGGCTTTTGAGATTAAAGATCCCAAGACGCGCCAAACTAGTGGCATACGCGGACGACGTAGCCGTAGTGATTGTTGCGAAACATGTAGACGAAATACGTCATATTTTCGACATTACCTTCGAGAAAGTAAACCGGTGGATGGATACTGTTAGTCTTCAACTAGCTACACAAAAGACGGAAGCAGTACTCATCACCAGCAGAAAAAACTATAGAGACTATTAGACTGAAAGTCGGGGAACAAGAGATCATATCACAACCTTACATCCAATACTTGGGAGTGATGCTTGACGCCCGACTGAATTTCAAGCAACATGTGAAACGAGTAAGTGACAAAGCATCTGTAGTGAGAACTTGTCTTGCACGATTGATGCCTAACATCGGCGGACCAAAACAGAGCAGAAGACTCACACTTTCATTAGTGGTTGCGTCAGTGCTCACTTATGGAATACCTATTTGGGCAGACGCATTAGAGGTCCAAGAATCATGGAGGAAAGCTGGCCCCGTTTACCGCTTGAGTGCGTTACGAATAGTATGCGGCTTCCGCACAATATCTGAGGAAGCGGTATGTGTCATTGCCGGGACTCTGCCTCTTAGAGTCTTAGCTGAGGAAAGAAAAAATCTTTACCAACGCAAGAGGTCAACGACACTAAGCGATGATGATCTGAGAACCCAAGAACGTAAAAACAGCATAAGACGATGGCAATTACAGTGGGACGCCGCCGAAAAGGGTAGATGGACGCACCGTCTTATACCTAATATCAACGTTTGGCTGAACAGGAGACATGGAGAAGTCAATTATTATTTAACGCAGATGCTGTCTGGACACGGTTGCTTTCGGGCTTATCTCCACCGATTTAAGCACGATGATTCTCCTGAATGTCCAGCTTGCCAAGGATTTAATGAAGATGCGGAACATGTTTTCTTTGTGTGTCCGCGCTTCAGTGCACAGCGGAATAAACTGGAAAGAATTTTAAAGCAAGGATTCAACCAGAAACATTGATTGAATCAATGCTTTTATCAGAAGATGCTTGGAACGCCAGTAGTTCGTATGTTACAGAAGTCATCATAACACTACGTTTCATTGAGAGAAAAAGAGCGAATGAAAGATGTATGACATCTTAGCTACAATTAGAAAAAGCTGTTGCTAGATCCTTCCCCGCGAAGTAATGCCTAACGGCGGTTTCCGTGGGGGTTACAAGGCCTGGGGAAAGCGGAGGTTTTAGTCGGTATTAACATCGTTGAGTCCGACATATCCAGACAATTCCACGTCTGTTGAATACGTAAATGTATTTCCTTCGCTATAAACAAAAAAAAAAAAAAAAAAAAAAAAAAAAAAAAAAAAAAAAAAAAAAAAAAAAACATACCAACACACACACACACACACATACATCCATTTTTTCTAAGGTATGCCAAAATGTTCAGGAACCTCTGAAACGTAAAAATATATAAAAATTTTCATTTTCGATTTTTTTGCGATTACTATAACTTGCCCTACGGGAAGTTAATAAGTTTTCTAAGTTCACTAACGCAACGATATAAAAATGTAATTTTACACATATTAACGGATTAACGATTAACGTTAACTTGCGTTAATTCTTCCGAAATGTAACGCTTTAACGTTTAACGAAGTTAACTTTTTTTGTAGCGGATTAACGATTAACGAAGTTAACTATTTGATTAACGGTGCCCAGCTATGGATACATTTGATTACTTCTTGAACAAGTTTCCAATTTAAATTTGAAATACCGTTAAAAGCATAGACGTCCAGAAATTTAATTCATCTTTGGTCACCTGTCACCTGTCAGCTTATTAAAAAATAACCTCTCTTTTCTTACAGCAAAACTGAAAGCTGAAGAGCCTTTTTAGAAGAGAATGATGAATGACTGACCTGAAATAATAAATATCATAACTGCCTGTGTAATTTTTTATTTGTGTGTTATACGGTCTTTAAATAAATAAAGGTTTCTTAAAAATGCCGCTAATAATCATGACAGGAATACCCAGTAGTGGAAAAACTCATCGAACACTAGAAATAAAAAAATATTTCGAGGAAGAAAGAAAGAAAACAGTACATGTGGTTTCTGAATTTGAAGCCGTCACAAAATCAGGTTATTCAAAAAATGATATTTATCTTGATGCCCAAAAAGAAAAAATCGTTCGGGGCATTCTAAAATCTGAAGTTTTTCGATTATTGACGAAGGATAATGTTGTTATTCTAGATGGAGGAAATTATATAAAAGGTAAAGGTTACGAAGAAGATTTAAATAATATGTAGCATTTATCAATTAATAACATTTACTTATATTAAAACTCATCTATGTTTATATGAAACATCTTCTATTAATTATTTATTATTTGTAAAAGGATACAGATACGAATTATATTGTGGGAGCAAAGCTGCACGAGTTCCTCAATGCACAATTTGGACATCTATATCTAAAGATGATGCTTGGAAGTTCAACCAAAATTCCAACCTTCCATATACAAAAGAAGTTTTTGATGAGCTTTGTTTTCGGTATGAAGAACCTAATCCAACAAATCGTTGGGATTCTCCTTTATTTGCAATATTTCCTGAGGATGAGTGCAAGTTTGATGAAATTTATATTAGTGTATTCGAAAAGAAGCCACCTGCTCCAAATTTATCAACACAAAATGTGAGTATTTTACTTTAAGTGAATTTTAGAAAACTGACAACTGTTGTTATATATATATATATATATATATATATATATATATATATATATCATATCATTGAAACATATATATGTATATCATTGAAATACAATGAGCTATAGTATTTGATAAAATATTATATTAACACTATTATATATTATATTGCTTTGATTTCTTTATTTATAAATGAAAATTTAGCTAAAACATTGATGTGAAAACTATTATAATGTTTTTTTGATATTCTGGATACTAATGGTATTGGAGGACATAATGAAGATAATTATAAATTTATTTATTTTCATTTGAATTCATACTGAATTAGCTTTTGTTTTTTTTAACATACTGAAACATTCAAACTGCAAATATTAAATACTAGTGGTTGAGACTAGCAAACAACAAAAACCAAATGATGTTATATATATCTTATTTAGTTTTATCTAAAGAAGGAAATATTTTGAATCAAATAAATTTTATGCCTGACGTTCTATACAATTATTTTTTAATGATTATTTCATTTTTCAGCCCCCACTGAGTGCACCAAATTTTCTTTATGAAATGGACAAAATTACTCAGGATATAGTTGGAAATATCATTACAAATCAGAAAATGGGCAATTCTGGTCCATATAAATTACCAGGTAATAAAAGTGTAGTTATAAACTATCCCAGCGACATTACAATTGGACAATTATCAAGACTTAGGAGACAGTTCTTAACATACAGTAAAATGCATACAAATACTTCTAGTATAGAGAAAATTCCACAATTGTTTGCCCAATTTTTAAACTCTAATTTAAATTAAAGCCAGTGTACAGTGTAAGATTTATACATATATATTTTTTCTCTTGTATATACAAAGATTAAACATGTTTGTTAAAGCGATTTTATAAAAATCTATAATATAGTTTATTTATCTGACCTGTAAATATTTTAACAAAAAATATTTGATATTATTTCATAACGATTAAAGCTTTTATATTTTTACCAAAACAAGTTAGTTCTTAAAAAATTAATTTGCTTCATTAATATATGTCATGAGATCAATTTTAAGCACCATTATGGCCATTGTCAAGTACTTCATTTTCAGGTTTTATGCACACAAAGAATACACTTTTATATTCACTTTGTTGCATAGATCGTGGATTTTGAGCATATTTTGTTTGGACATCTGTTTCTACTTTCTGAAACATATTTAATAATATTTTTATATAAACTGAATTCATTCTAAGCAAACTCAGCTCATTCAAAGATTTAATATTAATATGAAAATTTAAAATCTTAAATAAAACTAATTGTAATAAAAGCAGGTTGATTAATGGTTGTAATTAATTATCAACTAAGTTTGTGTTCAAAATTACTAAGCAATCAATTATATCTAATACTGGAATAATAATTACTTTTATAACAAATCCTATTTGTTGTATGATTTCTAGTAAATCTTCCAGGCTGGGTTCGATACTAAATTCAAATGGTACATCACTATAATGGTACAACAATGGTCCTAAGTTGACCCATAATCCACCAGGCATTAGAATACTGCAATAATTTTGAATAATTTTTGATAATCTCTAATTTCAATAATATTGTTTGAAATCTATTAAAGTGCTGTTATTACTACACTTACTTGTAGATAGTCTCAATAAATTCTACAACATTGTTGGCACAGTCAATAAAGAAACATGTAGCAACACAATGCCATACATTCGGATCTTTGTACACCTAAAATAAAGAAATAGATAGAGAAGTTGCCATAATATATTGAATCCAATTTTGCATTAAGTAATATAATAATACTTCTAGAAAATCTCCTGCAACCATAGAAAAATTAGGTAGGGGCGAGTTCAGAATGGGAACTACATCAGGAAAACGAGAAGGTTCTGTTTGGTCTGTTCGCTTTACATTGTTGACATTTTGGTGTAGCCATGGGTAAATAGTATAATCCTCAGCTATACTACACCTATAAGTTTTGTTTGAAATACAATTGGATCAAGTTAATTATAATTAAAGTAACTATAATGAGTAATTATAATTAATAAACAGATTACTCTATTGATAAAATCTATATAGTAGTATGTTTCTGAAGTACTTTCAATAATGTGAAATTTCAAAAATTTTACATTAATTTGTGATATATATTAATACCTATTTAACACAAAATTTGAAGCAAATAGCATGAAGACCGAAAATTCATTTCCTTGACAACTATACCCACGATGCGCTAATTCATAGGCCAGACGACCTAAACCAGCTCCAGGCACTAATACTTTTATATCACAGAGTAATCTGAAAAGTAAGTTTTTGACACTTTTTCTTTGTATTGTACAGAGAATGCAATTAATTCAAGATAAATTATTATTACTTAGTTCAAGATTCAGAGTACGAAATATCCAAAAAGAAACTAAATATTCAAACTATTAAACCTATACATATATAATAAGAAGACAACTATTTTTTTTGTTTAAGAAGAAGTTTACAAGTGATTATTTTCTTTTGAAAACATATTTTTGGATATGTTAGATCAAAATATATTGAAGTACAAAATTATAATATAAATAAATGATTATTATTTTTAATTACATACCCATTTTCACCAGGATAATAACTTTCAATTTCTTTTATTATTGGCTCATAACATTGTTTTCTCTCCTCAGCCCCTTCTTTACTCCAATCTCTAACAAATTGTTTGAGAGTAGATTGTACCTTAAAACAAATTATTTAGCAGAAAAATAAAATCATTAATTTGCTCATTAATTTTTACTAACAAATATTCTTAAGCCTTTTGTAAATTCGATAGACATTTAAAACACTCATATGTTAATGGATACAGAAATTAAAATGAAGAAAATATGTTTCATTTGATAAAGAATCATTACCCAGTAGGTACATTTAGTTATACCAAATCATTTTAAATGAACGGATAATAAATATTAAGTAGCAAATTCAGTGAGTATAAAGTGAATTGTGATTGATGATGCCATATCAGTTTAAAATTAATTTTATATTTTAATCAACTATTATTATTATTATTATTAATTTCTAACCTTGTCCATATCCTGATTAGTAGGTCTAAATTCACTGTGCTCTTGTGAAATGTTCGAAACAACATTGTGAAACATACAGTCAACATCACGTATAATATGTAAAATAACTTTATAATTGGCTTCTATACATTCACGAACGCGTTTTAAGTTTTCCCTGTACTTTTTTAACAAATTTTGATGAGAAGTTGGCAAACTATTTAAATACTTCTCTGTTTGGTTAACTCTTAAGAAAGAATATTTCCTGAAACATACATAATGAACATATGAAAAAAAAATATTTGCATTGTTGTAAATGTGTTTTCTTAAAATTTTACCTGTAGTATTTAAAAGATGCTAACACAGACATAAAATGTTTTTTCTCAACCTCATTTTTATATGAACTGTCGTCTTCGAAAATATCTTCATTAGACATTTTTGTATATCTAAAAATTAAATTTTGTTATTTGTCAAAAATGTCCTAATAATTAATCTGCACTTTGGCAATAATTAAACCAATTTATTAAAGTAAAGTTGAACACAAACAAAAGAAACGTCTATAGACTTGCTATGTATAAAGCACCATTCTCTTAAATTGAGTATTTAATAGACTAATAGAGTAATGCTGTAACGAAACGATATACCTTAGCACGAAAATAATGAGAGAGTCATCTAGTGTCTTCAGTTTGCGTTTACCATGATATACATAGTTTCGAATCGTTTAAGATCAATTTAGATTTTTTTAGATTTGCATATCCAAGATGAAAGAGAATTGCTGTTAATTTATATAAATGAATAATTTTTGTAACAATCACATTTGCTATTACAGCAAATTGCGTCAGTTGGTACCCAATTCATTATGTAGTCTAGGGTTGGTACCACTGAGTAATAATTCTGTATAAATATTTTAATGAAGGTTAAGAATATTCATGTCACAAACATATAATATGAGAAATAATTCAGATTTAATTTTAATATATTATAGTGTTTACATGTAGTATTTTAATAACTTACACGAAGAATTTAAGTTTTATGTATTGGCCACAGCCATGAAATATTTTGCTCCAAAAAAATCTTAAAATTAAATGGACGAAGTATTATGGCTCTTTACAGTGACAGTTGTGGTTTTAAAAATCAGCTTGTGATAAACTGTCTGTTCTATTTTTAGTTTTAACTGATTTTAAAATAATATTTGATTAAGATAAAACACAAAATACAATATTCAAGTAAACATGATACTAAATAAAAGCAAAGTCTACAGTTGAAAATCACTTAATAGATAATAGACTTAATGAATCATCTCTCTAATACCAATTAGTTTATCTTAATTTGATTATTTACAATGTCCAATCAGACACCAGACAATAGTATATATAACAATATCACAGAAATTTGCAAAAATGTCTTTATGCAAACATCTGGAACCCGACCTCCTGAAAATGTGCTTAAGCATTTGCGTTCTAAATGTTATGAAATATTATTGAAAAAATCATGTTATAAATATCCTGATCCTCCTGATATAAATATGAGTCTGTTGAAAAAATGCTTCATAATGAAGTCTGATATGCAAACAATATGTGATATGGACAGAACAAACCGATTGGAAAAATGTACACATAAAATTATGAATGAAAAAATTTACAAGGAGGAAGTATTCCAAAAGATTCTGTCTCTCTTAGTTTGTTTGGCTGATAGCTTACAGTATATGGAGCCGCTGAATTTGGTAATTATAATCATTATAGTTTTACACTCATGAAGCTTGTTCTGTAATGTAAGGACATTCCTCAAGTCCATAGGCTTAAAATTAGTTTATTAGTTTAAAAGCAGTTCATACAAATATCAATAACCTATACATATGCTTTTGTAATTATACATATTATAATAGCAATGCAACTTTGTAGATATTGGCTTGTTACTTGTATAACTTTTGCATAAGTGCAATAGATGATTTATTCAAATATCACTACATATTTCTAATGAAAATGCTGATATTATTGCATGAAAATGAATCCATATCTAAATGGATAACTTATTATATTATTGCGTTTTATTCACCTAACATCAGGTACCCTGGACATTTGGTAAGAGGGATGAATTCTGTTTAATAAAATCAAGAGCTGATGTAGGGGACAGTTCTCTTTATCCTATGTATAACATCGGAATGTTCTCGTTGAATGATGATTTGGATAAAGAATACTATAAAGATCCCTTTAGGCGATTGCAAGAAGCTGAATGCAGAGGCCAGTCTGTTAACCCATATTTTCCACACTTTGGTACTGAACTTTTGAAGTTAGAACCAGGTAAACGGAAATGTTATTTGAGTTTAATAATATTTCAATATAAATTCATACACATGCACAAATGCACACACACAAGATTAATCTATATGCATTAATTAAATTATATATACAAACACAAAATTCACATATTTGTCTAAATATATTGCAATTATTTATGAAAACTTTTTATTTATACATTACAAAAATTTTATAATATTAATGATGTTTCATTTAATTTTGCTCAAAGATAATTTGTTTTGAAATGATATTGAATGATCTTTTTTTTTGTTCTAGGCAGTGGATTACCACTTCTAGGGCAATTTTTACCACAAACAAAAAACTCCTTGCTTAGTAGCAGTAAATTGAATTCCAGTTATTCCGGAAAATTTTTTGATCTCAATAAAAATATTATAGCAAATGATGAATCTATGGATTGCCTTTGTGTATGTTACCTTGCTTTAATTAAATTTATAATGACAGAAAATCAGAATTCAAAATATTGAATATCAGTGTTTTATAAAATACATGAATATTTTGCAGATACAAGAAAAAATATCAAATAGTGGCTCAAGTAGTGATCATCATGTCACATTTTGCACATCTAACGAAGGAATTGTTGTTGAGCCCGCATCATCTGGCCAAATTACTTCAAGAGGATCTTTTCGTAGCGGTACTGGTAGTGGAGTGTCAATTAGAACATTAACTGATCAGGAAGATGATGCTTTAGAATTGTGGTCTAAACTGGAAGTCAGTGATAGAGCAAATAAACACAGAAACTGGAGTCACTTAGGTATGACTGCTGGTTTTGATAATCTCATATTCAATATATGTTCTTATATCAAATTATAAGATGGTCTATTTATTTGCCATATAAATTTTTCTAAGCCAATAATAATATCATATTTATATTATAGGTGATGTAAACCCACCAAAAGAACCAGAATTTGCCACAGAAGCTGATTCTGCACTATTATTTTGGACAATTTGCAATCCAACTATGAACTACATAAATTTAGACACATCTGATTTTATAAGGGATGTAAAACATTTGTTAGCCGGCATTTCATCACGAACGTTTCTTTACAATAATAATATTGACTCCTTTGAATTAATAGAAAATGTTGCATTGCCACAAAAAAGCCCTAGCTGTGCTGAAGGGTATTCGGAGAGTTTTATTTGCGCTGGAAATTGGATAATGCGATTAACGAAAATGTTTGGTGGATATAAAGAGAACAAGGGTTTTGTATATGAGGTTATTATGAATAATTTAAAATCACAAACTTTTAACAAATCAGATATATATTTGAAAATAACTATTATTTTTCTAGGCACTAAGAAAAATAGTTTGTGATTATCTATTCTCCTATCAACAAATAATATTTAATATTTCATGTACTTCTGTAATTGAATTATTTCAAGAAACATTGGATCTTCGAACACAAATTGAAATATTAGGACACCTGTTTACAGAATTTGAAAAAGGTGTATAGTAAGTTTATTCAATCGTTTTGAATCATTTTTTCATAAATGTTTTTTAATTTCTTTTTAAGATTTTCCTCAAGGATCTCAATTATTAACTATGATTTTATCTAAAACAAATGACGTGGTTAATAGGGATGTGGAACTTATACTATTTGCAATAATTCGAGAATGTTGTACTGTGTATTTTAGGTAATAAGAAAATTATATTTTGTTTTTATATACTTAATTCTTAAAGTATGTTTTGATAATTTTTTAATGAAATTGCATATTATTTTTAGAATAATACAGCAGTGGCTATTCACTGGAATATTATATGATCCATATTGTGAATTGTTTATTGTGAAACATGATGTAAGTGGGGGCAGTAGACTCCACTGGAACACGTGTTACACAATTGTTGATAAAGACACACCTGCTTTTTTGAAAAGCATATCTAGTGAAATTTTAAATTGTGGAAAGAATTTGCAATTACTAAGAGATTGCGATCCAACAGTAAGTATCAGATATTATGATATTATAATTGGTATGTTTATCTCTGGGACATGAATCGACAATTAATATGAAATGGTTTTGCCATTTTCATTTTATTTGGACTTCTTGTATTAAATCAAATATCATATCGGTAGTTGATTATATTTATATTGTTGGTTTGGAATCAGAAGTACAGTGTAGGGCCAGATTTATATTCTGGTTTTATGAAAGATATTACCTAATTCCAATTGTTTAGCTCGTCAATAGGTACTGAATACTAAGTGAATTTACAATATCTTTATTATTGTTTGCGTATTCAAATTTTTACAGCATCCATTAGTTACAAGTTTGCCTGAAATTGCTCCATATATACCATGCTGTATGTCCTTGGAAGATGTGGCGGAATTAAATAATGTTTGTAATAAATATAATGACAAAGCTGTAAAAATGTGTGGAAAATTGATCACTATACAGGTACATTTGGAAAATGAGAAATTGAAAAGGGTTGAAAATATTGCCATTGCTCAAAGAAAAAGGATTGAAAATTATGAGAAATGGAAAGGTAAATCATTATTCTTATAGTCAAATGTATTATATATATTAGTCAAAAATAAAATAAATTTACATTAAAGATAAATTCATTAATAAGTTGATCATATTAAACTAGATGCGGATTTAAGGCTGAAGCAGATATCAAAAGAGAAGAAAGACCAACAAGCCAAAATATTGAAACAACAAATAATGGAAAGTAATACGATCAGAGAAAATGAACGAAGAGAAAAAGTCAGAGAAGAATTGATTTTAATTAAAAGAGATAAAATATTAATGGAACAACAAAAACAAAAAATTGAAGAAGAAAAGTAAGTTAGTTCTGCTGAATTATGAAAATATTATACTATATTAAATATATTATAATGTAAATTATTTCTATCTATGTATGTTATGACAATAAGGATTGTTATGTATATCATACGCTCTTAACTTAAACTTTTTTATCATTCATTTTTTATCAAATTTTATCATTTTTGTCAACTGATTTTTTTTTAAAATATTAGATAGGTTTTGAATAATCATTTAAAATGCAAATAATATAGCAGTTAATTAGTTAATTAATTTGATTATTAGGTCTAAAATCAAAGAATATTATGATGAGCTTGGTAGTATTGTGCAAGCAAAAGCTATAAAAACACAGTGGAAAAATAAAAGACGTATTAATGATGAAAAAAGAGTAAATTTTCTCATAAATGAGAGGGAAAATGATTTAAAACTTTGATGAGTTTGAGTGAATCTCATAATCAACAAACACATTCAATTATAAATTCTGAAGATAAAATAGATAAGCAAGTAGCAATAGATAATTTAAATGATATCCCTAGAGATACAGAGGAAAGAAATGTCAATGACACAAATGCAACAAATCTAAATACCATAATAAAAAATATTGAAATTAAGATTAGTCACATGGACATGGATGCTAATGAAGAACTTTTGACTAATGCTGATGAAATAATGACTTTTACTTAAATTTGAATAAAAAGGATTCTTCAGAAAGTGATACTGATTTTAGTTCGACCCTAGCAACGCCAGTATCTGATATAAACATTCTTGAAGATAATTTGAATGAAAATGTTGAAACTGAACTTGATAATGCTCAAACATTCTCAAACGTTGATAATAAAATTGATAATGTATGCAAAACTGATAAATTCAATAATTTGGTTGAAGATTTTCAGAGTGCTAAAAGAAATAAGTTGAAAGTATTAGGCACTTCAGAACAAATTGATAACTTCTGTTATTTTAATACAAATAATATAGACAATTTATCACAATCTGAAAAAAATAAAAGGCACAATCTTGGTCATCATTATAATCAAGAAACTGAGGATAAGATACCTATTGTGAAAACTCAGGCACAAATAAATAAAGAAAGATATATGGCTACAGAGTTTGGAATAAATGAATCTACAAGAGAAACCAGATCTTTAACTTTGAATTTGAATGCTGAAGGTTTAAGAAATAGAGAAAAAATGTTCTTTAGTAGTTTGGATTATTTAAGTAATAATTATGATAAATTGAGTGAAGGCAGTATGAAAACTTCAAGATCCGTTGGTCATATGTCAGTTGATTCAACACCAATAACACCTCAATCATCAAAAGATACTTTTGAATTACCCGAAAAAGAGCTTATAAATACAGCTGATATAATTGATATTATACAAAAGCATAATGATGATATTGCTACGGCAGATATTGATTTGATAGATGGTTTCAAGTTTCCAACATGTGATGATTACCTTCTGAAGGTTTGTTTGAAAATTGATTTCGTGCTTTTAACCAATTTACATAAAAATATTTATTTTTTATTTCATTTAAATTGACATTTAACATATTTCAATATTACATTAAACTACATATTAAATTAATTCATATATTGATTGAATCCAATTTAGTATTTCATGTTTATAATTGCCAAAGACTTTCTAATTTAATCCACCACAAAAATTGAAAAGATTTGTTATTAAATATTTTTTATTAATTTCATTGACTTTTATTCACATTTCCAGGAAAAAGAAAGTTCTCATGAAGTGAGTAATTTAATTGTTCCAAGATTTGGAATGGACAGTCCATTCAAAAATTGTTTGGTAAGCCTAAATAATAAACAGTTGTGCATATTTGGCGGTGAAAGAGATGAGGACCAGCTTGATTCGACCACAATTGAAGGATTGAGCATAGGAAATATCACATCATTTTTGCACAAATCGGTACAAATCCCATTGCTCGCTCAATATGACTTGGTATGTTATTTGATAAAAATTAGGATATAAATGCTTACAAAGCATTAAAATTAAAATTTGTTATTGTATATAATATCAATAATTTCCCATTAAATTGAAAAAAATATATCATAATTAGGTGCGAGATGCCGTTATGCATTACTTTATATCTGAAGTGGACATTTTAGGACATTTTTATTCCTTACGGCGATTTTTACTTCTTCTTGATGGAGAATTCGGTTCTGCTTTATGTGGAGAAATATTTGCTAAAATGGAGAGTGGATTAATGCCTGCTCATGTTCTCAGTCCATCAGTCTTGCACGATATTCTGAATCGCGCCTTGATTGTTTGTGGAGGAGGTAAGAGTTATTAATGGTGGATTATTTAAAATAAAATATTTCACTTGTTTGACTTTTACTTTTTGAACAAAATATTTCAGTGTCTGATCCTAATGCAGAGAGATTATCTTTTTGCCTTCAAGAAACACCTCCAACACATTGGGAGCACAGTAGTGCTGATGCCTTGAAGTGTTTACTTCCATCATACAAAGCACCTTGGCCGCTCTCGATGATTTTACCGCAATCAATTCTTGACCAATATGCTTTGATATTCCAGCATCTGATGAAAGTGAGAAGAATTGCTTTTAAATTAGAAGAATGTTTTGAGGTCAGTTTTTTTTTAAATTTCTATTATTTTATTACTATATTTTTGAAAGACCTACTGAATCAGATAGAACTACTATGACAATATTATGAATCAAGGACATACTTTACTTGTAGCATTATTTAAATTATTTTAGGTAAATGTGATAAATTTTCTCTATATACTTCTTATTTATGAAGCTGGAAGGTTTAACAATTTATTTCTGAAACATAATTACTGCAAAAGAATAAACAGAATAATAGTTCTCAGTAATAAATTTATTTTTGTTATATTTATTTTATAAAAATATGATCTTCAGAATAAAACATTTAATAAGAGATTCAAAAACCGAAATACACCCTGATAGTTTTTGAGACTAGTCATAATAATATTGAAACAATCATTTATGAAACTATACTGGCCTTATGCTATGAGCTACCACCTTCTTATTGAACTATTTTTATGTACAATTTGTAAAATTTTTAAAATAATCGGACTATAAAATATTATTTTCAAAATTGTAATACTTTTGAGTACAGAAAAAATATTTCCAAGCCTAGTACAAATATAGATATGTAATTTTTTTATATATTATAGCTTAATCCTTAAAGCTAATTTTTAGAAGATGTGTATCTTTTCATGATCTTCAAACTTTTCAAGACAATGTAAATTATCCCACCAGAGCATAAGACGATTTTTCAATATTAGTTTAAACCATGGTGTTAGAGGCCCTTTTAAAGCTTTGAGATGCATTTCGAAATCTGTTCGTGGCATATAAATCAATTCACTTATCTCATTAGGATTTGGATTTAAATTTAAATGCTTCTGTAAAAATAATATATAATCCACTTCATATTCGCCCCATTGGCCATCACCTTCATCTCGATATAAAATTCTTGTTAGATATTTAAATGAATCTAATGGAACCTCCTGCTCAGCTATGCCTAGTTCTTGACCAAGTCTTCTCTGTGCTGCTCTCTTGATACCTATCAATTTAGATAGTCCATTGAATAAAATTCAATCATAAATTCATATTTATATATGATTTCCATGATTAGGACATACTATTTGAATATAAACTCATATCTTTTGACAAATTTATGTTACTAATACTAACCTATGGCATCTTTTTCAATTCTTTCATTTTCTAAATTATACAAAGGGTGACTGCAACAAGCATTTGTATAATAGTTGGGAAAAGTCACTTTCTCATTTGCTCGTTTTTGTAATAACATGTCACCATTTTCATTGAATATAAACACACTGAATGCTCTGTGCAATTTGAGACCTTTTTCTACAAAGTGACAGTTCCTTTTAGAACCAGGTCCTAGCGGTCTATCATGTTGGTCTACTAAAATGCACAAATCTTCTAAAGCAGCTTCTTGTACATTAGTTTGAGTCACTAAACTTTTTGTTATTGTTCGTTTCATCAGAGGCTGAGTCATGACAGTTCTTAAAATTTTGTACATTTTTATATTTAAATTAAGCGTATACCAAATACTATCTCTTATACAGCATTATTTATTAGTAATTCCCTGATAATTAATTAATTTAATTAGATGCAGTAGTATTATTTTTTAATTCTTATAAGAACTCAATGCTACGGAATGTGATGTTTCGCTTTCTAAATGTCAAACTAGGTTAACAATTCGAGTGCTGCCATATATGTGGACCTTGACATTCGACTAGCGCGCAATTTGAATGATATTATTATGAGCTAATTTGAATAATGAATAACAAACTATTATTTTCTGGTACAAATAATCTTGTATATTATCTTTTTAATTATATCTTTAGCAGATGTGGACAACGTAGATGTCGAAAAAATTAACGTAATATTTATGTTATATGTATACTAGTGGTGTCGTATGGCATCGTGTCTTAAAGCAAATTGCTGGAACTTCCCGTACCGAAACGAAATGTTCGAAAAATATTAAATGTTTTCAAATAGATTATTATAAATTCTGTAATTTCGTCTAATATTTATAAGAATTATATAAACTGAATCACAAAGTTAAAATTATTCACTTAAAATATATAAGTAAGCTTTAGAACTTTAACCAGAATTAAAATTGAAAGCTGAATTAATTTCGATATACAATATATATATATATATATATATATATATAATATAAAATATATATAAAAATGGAGCTCTCTTTCAAATGTCCGAATAAAACTCGAAAACGGCTGAATTGATTTGGCCAGTCTTAGTCTTGAAAAATTCGTGCCAATCCAGAGAAAGTCCAAAAGGTGAGAAATTATTTCAAATCCGCGTAGAAACTTTACATTTTTAATTTGAAAATTTTTGTACAAGCGTAATTTAAATAAAACAATGGACGGTGGAAATTTCGTGAAATGTCAAACGCTTTTGACAGATGATGTTCAATTACGTTTAATAGGATGTTTTACGCGAATATTATTTATTTATGATAAATTTGTAGTAAATAGTTTTGTTTGTAGTTTTATTTATATAAAAAAACATTAGTAAATGGGCCGCAAGTGTTACTAGAGACTCAAAATATAAACTTTTTTGATATGTTAATATGAAAATGCACTTTTTGGCATATTTTTCTCAAACACGGTGCTCTAAAAGATCTTATTTGTATAATTATATACTCATTGGTATTTATAAAACATTTTCTAGGTTAAATTATTTTTTATTTATCTTATTTAAATTCAGAACCTAAATTTGGTATCGATCAAATGGACATTTTGTCGAATAACATTTTTCCAGTTATAATTTCCCAGAATTTATCGCAGAATAGATAGTAAGATATGAAGGTCCGGGATTAAAAAGGTCCACCACCGATGTGCCAAAAATCAGTAAAGTTAAGCATTGTTTAACAACAATATTTGAAAGTAGAGGAAAAAAGATGTATAGCCAGCTATAAACTCGATTTGAAAACGATAATCTTTGAAATGGGGTAGATAAACGGTAATCTTTGAAAATCCATAATAAAAGTATTTTCTTCCGTCAGTAGTTTTAGCATTAGTTAAAAATGTAATTATTTTGTAAAATAAAATACCTTTAAAATTATAATAAGGCTTTAAACCTTTTGCCACCTGCCGTTACAAGTTACCCCGCATATAGGATAAAAAGGTCTAGATAACAAATTTTTGGAAGACATCAAAAAAGCACATTTCTACAATGATGAAGTAGAAGTCAGTTTACTGAACGTAGTCAGATAATTGTTCGTTTGATATGTCTTATTTGTTGTGATATAATTGTTATGGTTTTCACAATATAGTTTATATTTGCTCAAAGTCAAATTGGACCTTTGTGTCTCGCCCTGCTCTACATATATACTTTTTATTAAATTTACTTTAATTCATCGAAACTTTTCAAAAAGCAGGTCAAAGAAGAAATACTTAATTAATTTTTTATCTCTCCTCGCAAAAATTTGAAAATTTTGTATAAGCTCATTAGTATTATCCAGAATCCAAAAAGAATCTGAAAAACTTGAAACGTAATTAATAAGCCGAAAGACCAAAAAAGACTCGGATTGGATTATACGATGTTTTCTATAGAAAGTGTATAAAACTTGCAGTTTGATTGTATTGACAAAATATAGACAAACTAATGGGGTTTATTGTTTTTATAATACCTGATTGTATACAGCATTCAAACAACACATCCTTATACACTGAAGTATTAAGGTGCGTCCACACCTAACGAACGAACACGAACGAACATGTCGAACAAGAAAATACAAAGAAGAACGAACAGGAACACGAACGAACGCGAAAAATTCCAAACGAACTTGAACAAACGCTTAAAAGCAGTGAGCGCTTGAATTTTCGTATTCGTAGATGTTCCGTGAAACGTCAGTTTTATTATTGATATGGATGTAAGCTTTAATCATACGGCATTTTCACTGGTTTTTGTGTGATTTTTGTTTGTGTATATTTTGTAAATATACTGTAAATAAATTATTCAATTAATTTCACTCAGTTTTTGTATTTAATATTTATATTTTGAGTCGTTTTCTTTCCTCAGCATTCATATTCAGAGCAAGCTGAACATTCCAGGCTTGAGCTAACTATACTCGATTTTCAAAATCTCATCCTTAACATATATGTTGAATGTCTGTTTATGATAACAAGTTTAATATTTACTTGTAAAGACTACTATTTCTTCTTTACTGCAGCTTCTGACGTCCCAAACGTTTTGCCTACACTTTCCCAAGCATCATCGTTTTTTTCTGATAACTTTATAAAAAGGGTTCTAAGTATCCCATAATATAAGAAACTTTTCTATTTCATTTATGAATGATAAAATTACGTCATTTGACCATTTCATAATTTATTCAAAATTTTTAAATTGTACACGATAATTAAAAGTAAATATTATTAAATTATTAAAACTTATTAAATCATTAAAATTATTATTAAATTATTAAAATTATTAAAACAAAAATGTTCGTTTGCGTTCCTTGAGACGTCCACATTGCACATACGAGTTCAAACATGAACGAACAATTCCCTTTGATGTACCGACAAGTTGCGGAACATTGCTCGCCATGTTTGTTTATGTTCGTTCGTGATCGTCGTGGCGTCCACACTATGCTGTTGCCGTTCGTTCTGGTACGTTCTTTTATGTTCGTTCGTGTTTGTTCGTTAGGTGTGGACGCACCTTTAAATATTTTTGATTCTCTAGAAATGGTTTAGAGTATACCTTATTCAGCAAAACAACGTTTGCCGGGTCAGCTAGTAAAATATAAAATTGAAAGCTGAATTAATTTCGATATACAATATATATATATATATATATATATATATATATATATATATATATATATAGTGTAAACTAGTCAAGATGATTATTCAGCAACCCCACCAAAAACGATTGTTAAGCGATTGTCTTCTTCAGTTTTACCATAATGCAAAATATTTTTTTTAAACATTACGCATAGATGTTTATAAATGTAAAGAAGAATGAATTTGAAAATTACTAATTATGGTTTAATTACGATTAAAGATTATCTCACGAAGAAAATTGTGGATGTATAAACAAATGATAATAAAATAAATCATAGATAGCAACTACATTTCCCAACAATAATATTGAAATCTACAGAAATTTTAAATTTAGCTTTTTCTCAAACGCCAATTTATATATTTACTACTTGACTGCAAATAGTTGAGAATATTTTAATATATTTCATACTCCTTGCATCCTATTATTACATTTTTTTTGACAATATCATATAGAACTTTTGGGGTCCAAATTCGGTGTAGTTAGAAATGATTAAAATGTAATAAGTTGTATCCAGAGATGTTTGTTTCTTTATCTCACATATTACAATAACCATAATTTATTCTTAATGCTTATTATAATATTGAATAGATTTATTGAATATAGTTTTTCTGTAGTCGATGAATTCAGCTCTGAGGTCGTGTGGTCAAGATCTTTTGCGCTCAACGCAGTTTCGAAGCGTCCAATTATGGCGAGGTATCATGTCTCATTTCGTTCGATCGTGGCAAGTATATCAGACTGGTTCCGTACTCTATTCAGCGACCTGGAAGTTTGAGAAGCTCCTGCAGGATGTCAAAGGTGCCGACGAGTTGTACCGGAGACATAAGCAGTATGTCAAACATATATCATTTCTGTGAGTATATATATTTGAATATCAATAGATTATGTTTTCGCCAAAAAAATTGAATTTGCTAATTTTATTTCCGACGTATCAAGTTACTTTGAGTCGTTTGACACTGAAGCTTTGCGTACTGAGTTTAATGACATATGCATGATTCCTTTATATAAAATGATTTTTGCCACGAAGGAGAAGTGTGTATAAGTTTATGAAGGCGTTTTTTCAGAAAACTGCACCGATTTCAAAAATTTAAAAGCCATCAAAAATTGAATAGAACTGAATATCGCATTCCTTTAAATATGATAATCCAATATATCATTCGAAAATCGTGTTGATTAATTTTTGGCAAAGATTTGTTGGGTCGTATCTTTGTAATGGATCGTTAAAGAACTTTTTGTGATTTTAATGAAATTTTTAATTGAAATATTAGTGGTAAGGTTAGAAAATACTTCTTGCATGTGTTAGACGCGTATTAATTTTTCAATAATGTGTAATATTTAATCCATTTGTCGAAAATAACTAACATCTTTGCAAAAATTAGCAACATGAATAATCTGCAATAGTTTCTCGCATTATAATGATCTACACAAACTAGCCATACTTATAAATGTATAAATTATTATACTGATTTCAATAATTAAGCCGATTACTTACACACTTCGGAAAGCTAATGTAACTTGTTACTTACGCACCTAGTTTTCTTGACATATTTTCGACCGTTATTTAAATATTACAGATCTTTTCAATCCGCGAGTTCCAACAAGATTCGAAAAGTTTTTGATAACTGCTTCACAACAATATTACTATTCAACCGAACATTACATGCCGGAGGATGGATTCCGCGCACTAACAAACCAGAATTTAAACATTCACGTTTCAAAGATTTGGAAAAAATATTTATTAATTTTGAAGATATAGCAGCACATTGTTATAAATTTTGTTTGAAACTTTCTATTTGCGGTTATCAGCCTATGCTTGCAGAGTTTGTCGATTTACTTGACATGAATGGGTATTATACGAAGTTGATGGGAAAGTATACAAGATCCAATGTTGTATTGTTATAAATTTTGTTTAAAACTTTCTATTTGCGGTTATAAGCCTCTGCTTGCAGAGTTTGTCGATTTACTTCATATGAACGCATATTATACGAAGTTGATGGAGAAGTATATAAGATCCAATGCTGTAACTGTTTATTAAGGTTTTATTGATGTTTTTACTTTTTCTATTCTGTTGTTGTATTGCTAATTTCTATTTTTATGGATTTCTGTTTTAACTAAATGAAAAATGAAAATAATTAAGTTTTAGTTTATCTTAGTTAAGATTAGTACTTAAATTAAATTAATCAGGGAGAATGCGTATTAAATGTTTCAAATTATAGATACGCTAAAATCTTGATGTTGTCTTTATAGGAGAAACAAGTCAGCTTTAAGCATTTTTCAGCTCAAGAAGAAATAAAATTTTTCTTGAGCATGAGAAACCTACATATTAGATGTTATATTTTCATGTATAGGCACAAAGTTATTTAGTAATATTTTTACTGATTAATAATAGTACTTTTGGAGTTATTTTAGAAAAATGTAAGAACTGTTTCTGCCATCAATTATGTAAATAATGAAAATTATTTAAATTTTATATTAAATATATTATAATTCAACTGTAGAATATTTTATGCTGCAATTTATTTAGATAGTTTTAATAATAATCTAGATAAAGTATCATATAATACATGATTTTTTGAAAAGTGAAAAATTACATGTGATGATTTTAGTGTTTAACCCATAGACATTACACTAGTGTAAGGTGTATGGTTTAACAACTTAATGCTTACAGCCGAACTCAATTTGTCGCTCAATTTGTCGCACATCATCAAAAGAGATTTATAAAATTTTATATATTCTATTGCATATATTAATGTAAGAAAATCCAATAACTTTATTACTTCAAATATAATTATACATCAACGCGTTTGGTCTGCGACACGATTCCTTCATTTGTAATAATATAAAAAATATTATGATTTTTTGACAGTAAGTTTTTAAAAAATGTGAGCATTAAGTGGTTAAAATGATCAATTTATGTTGAAAAAAGCGCTTTTATCAAAATATAATTAGAGGTAATGAAAGTAAAAACATCAATTCCAATATTATATGAATGAAATGTTGAAATAACAAAGGAATAATTTATTATTTGGAGCTTAGAAGATTTTTTATTTAATTAATAGTGAACTGTGTGATAATTTTTTGCTTTTAATAATTTCATATATTTGTTTTTTTTTAACATACGGAGTTCTATTTTACTAGCGTGCAATCAATATATTAGTGGATGCACAAAAGTAATGTGATAAGTGTTGTATATTGATATTGCAATATAATTATTTATTAGTAATTTTAGCTATCTTTTATTAACCTTTTGAAGGAGATGTTTATGTTTTATTCTAGGAAATCCGACTTTATAAAAATGTTTCTGATAAAGATTTAAAAAAATGAATTTTCGAAAGAAGTTTTCCCGAATTTTTTTTAGGGCGTTTTTTTTCCTGTTTTAACCCAGAAATTTTGTCCATCTTTGTTAGCACCGTGACGGGAGATCCTTTGGAGCAGAACCCGATTGGTCGATTTTTGTCACGCGATGTCTGCGCCGATATTATATTTTTATGCAGAATTTTATATTTTTAAAATTAGAAATTTGTTATGATGTATTTTTTGTATAATACTGCAAGGGTGATTAAATAACGACCTAGCAGGTGTTTCATTGCACTTGGTACTATGTATTGAGTGTCAACTCAAGTTTTTGTTGAGATTGCTCATTTTGTTTAAATGAGCAATCAATTGCTTCTGCCAGGAGCAGAATCTGATTGGGTCGTCTCATCTGGACTTTTTTGGATCCGACTTTGGTCGACCGGGGCTCTAGTCGACTAGCGGTCGCGACAGATTTCAAAGTCGTCGTCGATCTCCGAGTTGGATTGATATAAAATATTGAGGGAAAAATGTTGGTTTTTCCTATACATAAATACTAGTTATTCTTCCAGTTATTATTAAACATAACGAGATGCTGCCAAACATAAATGCATTCGGCAGAAGAAATACTACAAGGGTGATTATGAAATAACGACCTAGTAGCTGTTTCATTGCACTTAGTACTATGTACTTTTTGTTGGATTTCATTTTTCACTTACTTTAATCTATACTCAAGTCTTAATTAGTTCATTTTAATTCAGTCAGTTTTACTTAACTTTGGACTTACACAATACAAATCAAGTTTCCAACTTAGTTTTTTTTCTCTTGCACAAGGATATCTTCATTATTATTAAGATAACTTTATTTTTATTATATAATTTTAATATTATAATAATTAGTATTACATAGTAGTTACATAGCTACAAAGTTTACTACATATGCGATAGATGTCGCGCCCATAATTCATTCATATGCATTTTTCAATAGCACATTCTCTTAAATATAAAGAATGCATGTTCCTATACGGGTATTAGAACATCGGTCACCAAATTTTTTTTCCAAAAAACATTTTTTCGCAAAAATTTTTTTTTCCAATTTTTTTTTCAAAATTTTTTTTTGACAAAAATTTTTTTTGACAAAATTTTTTTTCCCAAAATTTTTTCGACCAAAATTTTTTTGAGAAAAAATTTTTATTTCGTATTTTTTTTGACCAAAATTTTTTTGACAAATATTTTGGGCCAAAATTTTTTTGACCAAAATTTTTTGGGTCAAAATTTTTTTGGGCCAAAATTTTTTTAACCAAACTTTTTTGACCAGAATTTTTGGGTCAAATTTTTTTTTGACCAAAATTTTTTTGAGTCAAAATTTTTTTGACCAACTCTTTGGGTCAATATTTTTCTGGGTCAAAATTTTTTTGACCAAAATTTTTTTGGGTCAAAATTTTTTTGGCCAAAATTTTTTTGGGTCAAAATTTTTTCTACCAAAATTTTTTTGACCAAAATTTTTTTGGGTCAAAATTTTTTGACCAAAATTTTTTTGGGTCAAACTTTTTTTGACCAAAATTTTTTTGACCAAATTTTTTT